TATTTATACAAAATACAGTTTTGTTTTACTATTAAAATTGTATGATATCTAACACAGGGGCTTTTTTTCATCGCTGTAGATTTACTCAGCGTTAAAAAAAAAAGTACAAGGATAAGGAACCTTGTAAAATACGGGCAGGTTGATTTTTAAAGGTTATTTTAAATAACATCTTAATTATGTATAAATGTATAAATTTAAGAAAGTTAAACAAAACAATAAAAGATGAATTTATTTTTTTTTATTTATTATTATTTTTTTAATATGAAAAGACCTACATAATAATGGCCCCTGATTCTATTTTTTCAACATGTGATAAACAAGTATTTTCATTATTCGAATTTTTTAAATATATATTTAACATTTTTATTTGTTTTAAAATAATTTCTTAACGTAACAATATATTTATTTCATTGTACTATTCCTTAAGTAAACTTGAAAGTAGATAAGGTTTTCAGTATATGAATATCATAAAAATATATTGATAATGAACAATGGTATAATATTTATGATGTAATAAATAATAATCTATATTAAGATAAGTTGTGTTTTTGAGTATGCATTTTTCTCAGTATTTTTTCTTTTTGTTTTTATTGCTGTTCAAACTAACCTGTTGTTTGCATTGGGACTGTTGTGACATCTGGGAAAACAAAACATTCACAATATCAAAATTATGTTAGAATAATTACTATAACATGCAAATACATACTGATAATAACTTTTAAACCAAATTTTTATTATGCAATATTATAACTTTGTTTCTACATACATGTTTTTAAATATTGTTTTCCAACATTGTTAACGTTTGTAATAGTTAAGTTTAGATGTACTTTCTTACGTAACAAAATATATTGATGCTATTGCACTATCTATATAGTTAATAACATAAATTATTTAAAGTAGATAAGAATATAGATAATTATATATTGATAATGAACAATGATATAAGATATATGATGCAATGGATAATCTACGGTATATTTGTGTATACAATTTTTTCTGCATTTTTAATAATGAATGCATTTTTTAAACTATGTTGTTCGCATTGGAACTGTTGTAACATCTGTAAAATCAAAACAATTATGATATTAAAATATGTTTTAAAATATGTTTTCTAGATGTATCTTTAATTGTTTTAACAATATTATATTTGTTTTAAAGTAATATACGTAAAAACAATCGATTTTATTATAGCGTTAGGTGAGTTCTTTTTCAACATTTGTTAACATTTTTTGATAGTTCAAGTACTTTCAAGTACCTTCTTTACGTAACAAATTATATTGATGTTGTACTATATATAGTTATTAAATATAAATTATTTCAATTAGATAAGAATATAGATAAAAATATACTGATAATGAACAATTATATGCGATTTATGATGCAATGGATAATAATCTACGGTATATTAAGACTAATTTTTTGTGTATACAATTTTCTCTGCATTTTTATTATTACAGTAAATACATTTTTAAAACTAACCTGTTCGCATTGGAGCTTTTGTAACATCTGTAAAATGAAAACATTCATAATATTCAAATATGTTTTTATAATTACTCTGCATACTGCGAGTAATGTTTGAATGTAATTTTTAGTGTGCAATACTTATTTTTCTAGATGTATTTTAATTGTTTTTTAACAATAATATATTTGTAAAAGTAATTTACGTTAAAAACAATCGATTTTATATACTGTTTTTATATTTAATAAATAAAAACTTATCTGTAAAGTAAATAAGGTTTTCAAAACAGCGAATATATAAATAACATTAATAACGGAAACGATTTTGAGTTTTTGTAATAGATATAATCTATATTGAGACTAAATATATTTTTGTGTATACAACTTTCTCTGCATTTTTATTAATCAATATATTTTTTAACTAACCTGTTGTTTGCATTGGTACAGTTGTAACATCTGTAAAATCAAAACATTCATAATATTAAAATATGTTTTATTATTGTATAATGCTGCAAATGCATACATATTAATGTTTGACTGTAATTACAACATTGATTGATTATAACATTGATAATAGACGAATTTATTGAATTGTTGAGATAATTGATAATTATCTATATTTTTGTGTATACAATTTTCATTATAAAACCACTAGGTGCAAATTATTAAAGAATAAACAAACCTGTTGTTTGCATTGCCGCTGTTGGACCACCTATAGAAACAAAGGATAATATAACAATACTAATTTTATTCTCATTATCATTCTATCATATAGGCCTATCACACTGAATTCAAAATGATGTAATATTGAAAACTGGTTCAGTCTGACTTATATGTATAGGCCTATATGTATGTATATTATATATATATGATACACTCTATCGAGATTTAACGTAAATAAATTTACAGATGTGTAACTCTAACGAGTTAGATCTACATTTAGATTATGTGCGTGAAATTGCTAGCAACAGACATTTGTGGAAATTGTTACTTTGATTTTCCGTTAATGTTTTAAAGAAGTCTATTTTTATTTGTACTTGACTTGATCTTGTAAACTCAATGATTATAGAGATTTTACAAATTTTTGGAATAAATTGATATATATATATATATATATAATATATATATATATATTAATATATATTATACATTATATAATAATATATATTATACATTATATAATATATATATATTATATATATATATATATGTGTGTATTATAGTTTGTTTTTTTGCATCATCTGACAAATGAACTGAAGGGAGTGGCTATTGTTGCACCAGATTCTGATTTGATTGTATTGTATCATGGTCAGTGGACGACGACATTAATCACACAAGAGAATTATGAATTAGTTATTAGTTATTAGTTAGTTATTTTTAGTTATGATTTAAACCATATTTGTATAATATTCGTACATACCAATATGGTAGATAGTCGATGGATCTACCGCGAGGGTTACATTATCTGCTGTTACAAGAGATCCATCAGCAGCTGCATTTCTAAGTACGGCTTCAACTTCAGAACCAGTTACATTTGGATCTGATACGCCAAGTCCAAGATCTGCTACAATACTTCCGCTACTAAATTGCATTACTCGGCAGTCCAATAAACCAGAGACATATAAGGATAGCTTTGAAAAAAAAAATCAAGAATGCGTATAATTCATAACGAATTGACAATCAGTAAGGAAAATATCTAATAGAAATTTACATATTATCCAAAACTTATTCTAATGAACAGATTATGTTGCACGTGTCTGCACGTGTTCCAACGAGTACCCAGCCACTAACCATGTGAGCTATCATACAAGACTCTTTGCAGAAGGCTAATATGAGGCAATGCAAATGAATGTTTGGAAAACCATGATAACTTGAAGCGCTGATTTTTTTTTTCAGATACAGAGGGTTTTTCATCAAATGTCAACGGATTTTGAATTTCACTCATTTCATTCTCTGCAGATGTTCCATAAGTCACAAATGCATTCAGCGAAACCCAATTTAATTATAAATCATTCACTTCCTATTAAATAACAATTTATACTTCTAGATGAAGAAAGACAATGATAAAAGGTCCCTATCAAGGAAAGAAGTAATAAGAACAAGAAGGTCTCCATCTAATGATTGATTGACAACAAATCGTTACCCCTTTCTTCACTTTTCTATTTGCAACACTTCAATGTAGCTTAAACATAACAAATTTTAAACATAGCCGCTACATGTATAATAGAATTGGTGTGTCGCCATTTCACTTAGAGGGCGGTGGTGAATTTTACAGACGAAGAATAGTGTGTTGTTCGCACCTGAGTGCAGCGAATTAAGCAGTCATTAACTTGAACAGCAAAAAAGGCTCCCAGCGGGAACGTGTGTCTACTGCTTGCTTTGTGTGTGCTTGTGTGTGTGTGTGTTTTTTTTGTTTTTTTTGTTTTTTTTTTTGTTTTTTTTTTTACTTTTAACTTATCTATGCGTTCTTTGTTGGCAGTTCACTTGAATATCTGTACAAGTATATACCAGATTGCTGTGACTTTTTAATGAACTGTCTCAAACAGATTCTTGCAGCTTTCAGTGTTAGCAATTCACTTGATAACTAGGACATGTCGTATCTAGCATGGCATCATAGTTCGGAAATTTAATTTTTATCTCATCCAATCATTCCTCCACCGGATGTACTCTTACAAGGTCAATTGCCCGACGATAACAAAGTGTCTACTCCCCCCGGGAGGAAATAGACGCCATGTTCATTTACATGTGTAATGATTAAGAACAGTTTTTCATAATGTTTAGATTTTAATTCGATATAGACTCATATTATGGTGTGGGAAACTTAAAAAAACAAAATAATCATTAAGAATCACTTACAGCTGAGCACAGGTAACTTTGGTATAGTATGAAACGGTCAGACAATTCATTTAGTAAATCACTTGCAAAAGAAACTGAAAGACCGTTCACCCCAGTAAACGTCAATCTCATCTCTATCCTATTTACAGCTGCAAGTATAAAATTTCAAAAACCATTTCAAATACATTTCAAAAATTATACAGTTTATTGAACTAATACATTTAAATTATGGTAAAAATGTTATTCTTGTTGACGTTCTGACATCTATAGATTAAAAAAATTGTATTTTATCGTACTAAGTACATACAGTATATTTTACAGTGTTTGAACAAAGCACTGTCGGAAAAATTTTAACAACTGCTCACTGAGGAGAAAAGGACAACATTCTTAACAACACAATGATTTTCATATGTTATAAATCGTATTATTTACAAGAAAAAATATAAATTATTTAAAATATATTATTCATAATTCTGGACACTTCTTTAGCGCCAGTGTCACCATTAAGTGCTCATGGCGCTTGTGCCACGCAAGCTTGAAAATGAACAGAGAATAAAAGTAACAGAAAAGCAAGAATGAATTCAGTCAGTGAATGGTTGGAAATGGGCGATTCATGACCAAACATCTGCCTTGCAAGAGGTACTGTAATGACCGGAAGTATGATTTGAAGAGACAAGACTTCAAACTAGATTTAAATTAAGCTGGGCTCATCGATTCCAGATGCGTAAAAGTAGCTTGTTCCAGATTTTCAGTGCTGCGACAAGGAATGATCTCAAAGTTCAATTGTTGTGATGTCGGATTATTTCAGCATATTGTGAGACATCCATGTTTGAATATGTTCAAAAAGGAACAGTTGTTTCAGCAGTGGGATCAAAAGGAAGAAAAATCTGGATATCATCAGGGTAACATTGTGGGAATGTAAGACATTTGTGATGGGGAGATATAAAGAATAAAAAGAAGGGGACCGAGAACACTGCCTTGGGGAACACCACATCGACTCTGAGTGGGTTCAGTTGTGGAATAAAAAATATTAACAACTTGAAACCGAGAAGAAATGTAAGACTTAAACCAGCAAATAACGATGTTAGAAAAAACAAAATGGAAGGAAAGTCTGCGGAGAAGAACACAATGGTCAATCGTGTTAAATATAACAGTACAAGGGCAAACGCCATGCCAAAATCAACGTATAAAATATAATTAATGAGACAGCTAAGAGCAGATTCATTCGAATGTCCGGGTTTGTATGCAGATTGGTGGGGTTCATGAAGGTGATTTTGTAAGAAGAATTCAGAAACTTGAAAAGTAACACATAAAAGAAAACAAAAGAGAGGTTGGAGATTGTGCTTTTTAATTAAAGGTTTGACGGACGCAATTTTAAATGAGTCATGAAAAACACGGTAGTGAGAGACATGTTAACAATAGTTAGAAGAAAAGGGGTAAGAACATCAGAAAAAGGTTTTTAACTATATGCCAAAATGTTTCTTGTTATCACAAGAACAAGAGTCCACTTGACACCTGATGGATTCGGTTTTGGAAGACTTTAATTTATTAACGAGCACCATTATCTGTTTCTTATAGGCCTCCAGGATCGACACTTGAGCGGGATTTTCTCCAGTGACGTTCCAACTTCCTACACTTTCGTTTATGCAAACGAACAGATTTATTGTACAATGAATTGTAATTTCTGTCTCTAATAAATATGAAATATTTTGTTACGCTAAATTAAATAAAAACCGTTGTAGTATCCAATACAAATCGAAAATCCAGCCTTATCCTGCAGCACGTGCCATTCTTCGTGTACAAATTGATTAAGCGTAATAACACAGTTTATACACTATCTACTTATACAGACAATGAGAAATGATATTTTTTCACATGAATATTTTTTATTTTGTCTTTATTGAGGGTTTTCTCCACATTGTAACTTCATATCGTACTCGCCAAGGCCTATATCAGTTTAGATCTTGAATGACAGAATGAATACCCATCAAATCATACTAGAACAAATGCATCTCGTACCTTCAATAGTTACAGTTACGCTGCAATTTCCGGTATTGTTAGACTGGTCCGAAGTTGTAAAAGTGAATGGATGAGTTCCAATGCCGAGAGTTAATGGGATTGATGGTTCACTTGTAACATCACCTGTTTCACCTGAGTTATCAGATACACTCGGAAAAGGGATAACCACAGCAGTTGATGCTTCACCGAAGTTAATGTAAACTGTCCAATCTGCTGCACATACTAATGAAGGAGCCTCTTCATCTACACGCAAAAGAAAATGTTCAAACAACGTAATTCATTTTTGACAACTTATAATAAAACACAAATAGAATTTTATGCTGTAACAATTTAATAGGCCTACTGTTTATATCCACCAAGGAGCGTCTATATTATTTTCTTACCTTTAACTGTTACCATAACGTCGCAAAATCCGGAATTTCCAGCTGAGTCAATAGCTGTAAAATTTATTGTATGTACACCTATTGCGAGGTTTGCTGGAATTGACGGGCTGCTTGTAGCAACGATGTCTTCATCAGAATTATCTAATACAGTAGGTGACGTAATATCTACTGTAGCTGTTGATTTACTAGGATCCGTTGTGACTGTCACAGCAGATACACATGTCAAAACAGGTGGTTCTACATCTGTATAAATAAATGAAAATTTATAATTATATCTAGTTATTTTAGAAGTACAAAATTTACCCAAATTTATTTCAACTGCAAAAACAAATTGTTATAGATTTTAAATTTTCTAGAGAATAGCAAATCAATTTAATATGCTTTAGCTATTAACCTGAAAGAACATAGATCACAATGGAGTAATTTAGATTTATTTACGAAGGCAGACACCGCCCGCTATACTAATGAGTGTGAATCACATGATATTAAATGCGGAATAAAGCAACCCCAAACGTAGATCTACAGCGAATACATCCTATGTATAAAAACGCAACAAAAAGCTAAAGTAGAGAATCCTACTTCCCTTGGTGTTAAGTTGGTGTTAAGGGTTGTCCTAATCATCCAAAACAAGGGAATTGGAATTCTCTACTACCCCGAAATAAGATAATTTTGCACGTAATTGTTTTAATAAATTAAATCAATGAAAAAATATGTAGGCTTATTTATGCACTACTTTTCAGTGCAGTTAGCATAGCGCCTAGTTTTAAGTAATATTAGATTCTTTAATTAGTGAAAAACACAACATATAAAATGACAAAGATAATCGACAGACATTTCTATTTGTCCTGTCATAAGATACATGTTTAAGTGAGGTAGCTAATGCTAAGTGAGGTAGTTAATGCCCCCTGATACCGGCAAAATGTTCATGTATTTTATTGTAATTTAATTTAACAAACGAAGTTTAATAATTTATAGGTATATTACCTGGTGGCGCGTAGATAACATTATCTGGTGGCACTCTCCCATCATTCAAAGCAGTTGCCAATTCGAAAATTGTTACTAACTGAGTATAATTAGTTCCTGATTCGATTCTTAAGTCTATGCGGAATTCAACCGATAATCCTTCTGTGATATTGGTAGAATCCATAAACATGACATCAAGCAAATCTGCGGATAAACTGGTTGTTTTGAGTAACTCCGACATCTGAAAAATGCAGTTGTAGAAACAATTAAGGTTAAATCCTGTAAATAGGGAGAACTTTTATAAACCACCTCTCAAACTCGTACGTGACTGTTATAAAGATATCTTTATGCATGATTTGAGTTCTTTACATTTTACTTCCAATTAAAATCGAGTCTTTTTCTAATAACAGAATTAAAAACTGAATAAATAAAATGAGAACCGAAAAAAAGATAACATATAATACAAAATGTGATAACATACACAAAATACATAACCCGGACAGGTATTCAACAATGTATACAACGATGTTCAAATACATATACCAGAGAGATCTGGATGTGTAAGGTGTTATATAAAGCATTTTAATAATAGTTACTTGTATTCAAGGAATTATATAAAATATAGTAACTGCGTAGAGATTGTTACTTTATCGTAGGATATGTTATATTTATGTATACCCTACACAAAATAGTCACCTGAAAACGTAAGGTGATACAGTTTGCTGATTGCAGCTTTCGCGATGAAGGTAAGAACAAAAACCTAGAGTCTGGAAAAAGGTAAATTAAACTACACGAAATATGGTATCGATCTGTTTTCGCAGCGATATGAGATATCATGTGCATGGCTTTTTGGAACAAAATGGATATAAGTGTTTTTATCCATGAATATTATTGTTTTTGTATCCAGAATAAATATATAAATAAAATAAACAAAAAAAAATACAAAAGGACCTTCATTTATCATTATTATTGTTAGTATTTATCCAACAATTATACACAAAATTATTACAAATTTGTGGTCTATCTTAATGACTCTGGATATGTACTGTACAGTGCATACGCAGATTAAAATGCGACCGACTTTCTGACCGACTTTCTGAACCATTTTAACTTTTACTTTCAATAATTTTCGTACACGTTTAACAATATTCAATACATTTCTGGATATAACTGGTGTTGGAAAAACCTCAAAGCACACCTTCATTATTGAGTTTTAAGAGATTGAGATACAGATGATTTTTTTTTTCTGAGATCAGATCTCAAAATTATTACATCATGCATTATTACGACATCGCTTGTTAACAAGTATTACTTACATCTTTAACTAGAGTATTTTTCTGAGTTAAGGTCAGTTTGGTGTTTGGTCCGACCTCTAGGCCTCCAATATAGGTGAAGATCACAGGAAGATTCAATGACAACGCCTCTGAAAGTGATATTAAAATATACGAAAATATCAAAAGAACATATTGTACTATCTGATAGATATGGCTGTCATAAAATCACTACCAATGTGTGTGAAATATATTGTCCTGTATACTAAATATAGTATGTTATGAAATTATAATATAATTTGTTTCAGCGAGTGTTACCTGTACATATGCCAGATATATTACTAAATCCTTCTGAGCAACTACAAAAGAAACTTCCGTCTGTATTCATACACATTGTATTAACTTCTGGACAGGTGCCATTGGTGTCGCATTCGTTTTCGTCTAATATGATTTTTTCAAAAACACATTAGTTAAATTAAGCAACATTTTTCAGACAATCATTATGATTTCTCGTAAATAAAAAATACAAAATAAATCTAGAACCAAAATAATATCGAAGGATTTGACAAAGAAAACAAACAAAACGATCTTTACGATGTCCAATGTTATATACTTTCAATATTTTTTCCTCATAAAAAGATAATAAAGCACTATAGGCCTATAAATAACTAAATTTGTAAATAAGCTGAAATGAATACCAAATAATTGATAACAGCACACAGAAAACTACCAGTTAATCGATTATACATCGATAAGTCACTTTGCAGACTTTACTGCTCAAGCCCGTATTAAAGGTCAATCAAACATTTTAACACACAACATAGGCCAAGCAGCCAGTCAGTGGAGTTGGCGCTGCCTTCGGAATTGTTTGAAGAAAGTGAACAGTGATACGTAGTTTAAGGAATACGTGCATCATACGACTATTATATATCGTTAAGATAAATTAGTCATAGCTTGCTAAGAATTCCGATTCTAAGCACTGCGCTTACTTGAAAGCCTATGTTGTGTGTGTTCACTGTTTGTTTATGTTGATTGGCCTTCAAAACGGGCATGCACAGTTCAAACTATGAAGTGGCTTTTTAGCTAATGTTCGTGTTAACAACCAAACAACGTTGCACGACGCAGTCCGATGCAATTTATCGTCGCGTCATGTCTGTATCAAACGTAGTCGTCATGAGTCTATGTTTAGTATTCTCACGACGATCTTAAAATCTCCCCGACGGTAAATTGCGTATGGCTGCGTCATATGAATTTTTATCTGAGTTGGCCTTTACAGCGGGCTTACTCCGTAACGTACCTGCACAATTGATACCGGTGCCTGTATACCCGTCGTTACACTGACACCCAAACGATCCAACAGTGTCATTACATTCTGCATTTATGTCACAATTGTGAATATTTACAGTGCATTCATCAATATCTATAAATAGAATAATGAAATAACCTTTAAAATTTAAAGGTTCAAGGTATATCTTCAGTGGCCCATGGACCTTCCACAGATATGGTGTGAATACCACCTCAGCCCCATCATGGTTGAGGATTAGGTAAGAAAATGTATGATTAAGAATCCGCCACTGGTCTTGTCAGGTAATTCAACTAAACACATTTTATTTTGGACTTATGTTAGTTTGCATTATAGATTAATGTATTTGGCATTTTATATGGTTATACACAACTATAACTATAAAAATGTTTGACTTACTTTGACAATCTCCTTCTTTGCCAGCTCCCGTGTCAATGTAGCCCATGTCACAAGTACATACAAATGACCCTACCACGTTGGAACAGATGGCGACAGCGTCGCAGTCATGCGTAGTGCTATTTGTATCACACTCGTTGATATCTATGTTTCATGAAAGATGTATTTAACACACATTGCTATATAAAATCTCATGATTTTTCAGGTGTTAACAAGATATAAATAATGAATATAAGAGTACCTATTAACATTAGCAACTATACAAATAATTATTAAAAAAGTAATAATAATGATAATAGTAGCATAGTAACAGAAGTGTCACTGCGCTGAAACTGTCCGACATAATAATTCCGTAACGATAGTTATACAAATACGTTTAATATGGTAAGATTTTACCTGAACACGTGGTTCCATTTCCTTCGTACCCGGTGTTACACACACAACTGAAACTGCCATTCGTGTTTGCACATTCAGCATTAATGTCACAGTCATGGATATTCTCTTCACATTCATCGATGTCAGTGCACTGGGACCCATCTCCACGGAACCCTTCGTAACATGCGCATGTGTAAGACCCTACAGTGTTGCTACATTCAGCATTCGTGCTACAGGTAGGACCATCGCACTCATTTATGTCTATTAAATGTAAACAATGAAATGAAGACGATTACATATAGCTCCAGACAATTCACACAATAATAAGCCATTATGGTCAGGTTTTGAGTACACATGAAATAGAAGCCGAAGGAGCAATAATTTCCTAAAGAAAATTTGCCAGAAGCCCGCCTAGCAACGAAATATTCCATCACGATGTACTGTAGTAAATCGCCCCAGCTTTGAACGTTATCGCACACTAGACGCAAAAAAATCGGAGGCACTATATCGATATAGTGATCAATCGGGAATAGGAAAGTTCAGTGCAAATAACAGTGATGACGTCACAACTGACTTGTAATGTGAATGAGAACATCTCGATGTAATCTCTAACTCACCATCACACGTCTCGTCTGTTTGGTTATACGCAAAACCTTCATTGCAAGTGCAATTGAAAGAGCCCACCGTATTGGTACATAACGAATTATCTGGACACGATCCTGCAATATTACATTCGACGACATCTAACAAAGATAAATACATATTTAAAAGACATGAATAATATTTAATTAATATTTGTAAAAATATCACCCCACCCCAATTTTCGTTATGAATATGCTTTCAAATATATAATCAAGTTAAAAGGGTATCTTTATAAATATTTATAGAAAATAATAATTACAACAATAATAATAATAATAATAATAATAATAATAATAATAATAATAATAATAATAACAATTAATAATACAGTACTAACAATAATATTAACAGCAATATAATAAAAATAATAATTTGTAGTTATTTGTGGACTAATCAATCAATATTATTTTATTGGAGTTTTGAACGTTTTTTGTTAACAGTTAAAATAATATCGAGATGAAAAGGTCCCAATATCCCCATAATAATAATTAATAATACAGTACTAACAATAATACTAACAACAATATAATAAAAATAATAATTTGCAGTTATTTGTGGACTAATCAATCAATACTATTTTATTGGAGTTTTGAACGTTGTTTTATTAACAGTTAAAATAATATCGAGATGAAAAGGTCCCAATATCGATAATAATAATAGTATTTTATTATATATATATATATATAATATGTATCAGCCTATGTATATATATATATATATATATATATATATATACTGTGTATATATATTTATTAATCAATTCATTGATTTATGATCGTTTGGTTTATTGATCTATTTATGTATGTTGATGGATTGATCGATTGATAGAGTGATCGATTGATTGTTCGATAGATAAATAGACTGATTTATTGATTGACGGATTGATTTGATTGATCGATTGATTGATTGACTGATGGATTGATCGCGTGATCGATCGATTGATAGATATACTTATTGATTGATTGATTGTTCGATAGATCGAATGAGTGATTGATTGATCAAATGATGGATTGATCGATCGATCGATTGATTGATTGATTTATAGATGGATTGTTGATTGAATTGATCGATCGACTGATTGCTATTGATCAATGCATTAATGGATCGATGGACCGATGAATTATTCGACCGATCGATCAATTGATTGATTGATTATCAATGATTTTTCAAAGGAAGATTGTATGGTATGCAATAATACAACTTACCAAAACAGGTAACTCCCACGCCAACGAAACCAGATTTGCACTTGCATACAAATGAACCATTGTTGTTGATACAGTCAGCATTCGGATCACAGTTATTATTTTCATCATTTGCACATTCATTAATGTCTTGTTTTTAAACAAAGAAAAAAATAATTAAAACAGAATTATACTGATAAATAGTCAGTCGTTGATGAGCGAAGGTCTTAATTATTGTTGTTTCCACAGGAACTAGTACTGCTCCGTAATCCTACCTTCAATTGAATTACTTTAAATGGGTTTACCATTCGCGTTAGGTTCAGCATTAGGCTAAAGCATTTTCAACTGTTCATCCAGATTCCAATTTCTCTTCTGCTAAAAACAGGCTGTAGACGACAGTGTTACTAACCGCCCGGTATCTAAAGAGGGCACTCCCACCAATGCATATATCCTTAGCAAAAAAATACGCTCAAGCAGGAATTCACCGCCTGTTACCGGTACCTTATTTTCCCAGCAAATGTTTGACAAACTTCGTTATTGTGATATTCTGATATAGTGTCATGGTGATATTGTGATAGTGGGACAAAGGGACAAAAAGTCACCATTACCTGTACAGCTTAGACCATCACCATTGAAACCAGATCGGCATGTGCAGTTGAAACTTCCAGGTGGTTCATTAGCGCAATCCGAATCAGCATGGCAAGGGTAAGAGGTAGTACTACTACATTCGTTAATATCTGAAATGTTCATGGTATAAATTATAAACAGTCTTATTAAAGGTATAAGTAACAGCATTCACAGTATTTTCTGTGTAATACAAGCAATGTGACATACACGGCATATTTTTCGTTATCCTTGAAAACCTGCAAATGTTAAAAGTAGAAACATTCGGATGATGGTGCTAAAACTGCAAACATTTATGTAGCAAACTTTTAAAATATAGTAATACTTCTATTACAGAGTTAATCAAACGAAGAGGCCTAACTAAAATTTGTAAGTAAAACAAAATATCTTGAGTAAAATCTTGCCAATGTTGAGTGCAAGTTTACGAAAATAGTTTACATAAAAGCAAATGCGTAGGGTATTTAAGTAATAATAACAAACAATAACAATAGCTGGCAGGTAATAAATGATGACGGTGGTGAGGACAGCAATAATAATAATAATAATAATAATAATAATAATAATAATAATAATAATAATAATAATAATAATAATAATATAATATAATAATAACAAATTCCTATGGCGTTTTAATAGTATATAGTACAGTATCTTACCATTGCATATAAATGTGCCTGTTAAAAGTTCATAACCCTCATTGCAGACGCATTCGTAGCCCCCTATTGTATTATTGCACACTGCAAGTTCGTCACAAATATTCATTCCGTCATCACGGCATTCATCTACATCTAGATTTTGAAATTGGAATGTATATTTTTTTAAACTAGTATTTTTTATAATTGGGATGGTAAATGGGGAATGTATGAGAAAGGCTAAAACAATACAGTAGGCATATTCAAAGTCAAAGGCCACAACGCAGTCTACAAAATAATTTTAAAGCCGGTTTTCCACTAGGCGAATTTATTCGCGCGAATAATCGAAATCGGTTCATGCACATGTGCATGAACCGATCTATTGGAGTTTTTGCGGAGCGAAAAAAATGCGCAACCAATCAGAGATCAGGAAGTGAACCGACGCTTTGATTCGCGCGAATAAATTCGCCTATTGAAAAACAGGCTTTAGACTTAAAGTTTGCCTTTAGAATACTTGAATTCCATTGTATGCTGGTTTGAAACTATATTTTAGTTGTACTTTCTCGTTTGGGTGTGGTCTCAGTTGTTTGGAAGCTTCTAACATTACGAATATCACGAAATCACCAACTGAAGTTGAATTGTAGTTACATGTGCAATATAATATTGATCATTCTTACCAGTGCAATTTCCATTAGATAGTTCAAAGCCAATGTTACAGATACATTCTGATCCATTTACACCAGTGCTGCAAGCACCGTATACACACTCCAATGAACAGTTTCCTTCAGCTAAATAATAAAAAGTACATTTGAATAGTATGTTTGGTGCATTGTATAATTAAATCGCTATACCACTCATGCTTTATCACTTAGTATATTCTACCCCAGAGGTTTTCAAACTATTGGTCACGACGTAAGATTGGGTGGCTAAATAAATTACAAGGTCAAGAGAATTTTTGTGGATTTATATATATATATATATATATATATATTATATATATATACATAGGCTGATACATAT